TACTGCCAACAAAGATTGACATGACAAAAAGGAATTGGTACTACCCATCTCAGCCGCAATTACAAAGCATGTGCGGCAAAACATGGACTTCTTCCAGCTGGTAAAACACAATTTCAATTTGGCAGTCCAGACGCCGATTTTATGATTTCATCCCTATCCACGTGGGTGTATTCGGAGGACGATACTCGAACCGGAATGGTGAAATTTGTTACTGCCATTGAGTTACCTCTGGCTATTACATACAACCAACACTTCGTCTCGTTCGTGAAAGAATATCAGCAACCAAGGTACGTTGGGGTAAGTCGAAACACTTTTCGTGTCGATACAATACAATATTTTAATAATTCAAAACAACAATTAATTATGAATTTACAACAATATAGGAGTGTTATATCTTTAACTTCTGATATATGAAAATGGATTAATAAAAGAGTATATATAGTTACAACCGCACACTATATAGACCAACTTTGGTACATACATAAGAAAATTATTGCTTTTAGAATTATTGAATTTCCTCACAATGCTAATAATATATATAATGCTATTATCAGTAATGTAAGATAATATAATTGCGAAACTAAAATTCGGTCTTTTACTTTTGATAATACTAGTGTTAATAAGGTAGTCGTCAATAAATTGTGTAAGACACTTCAACCTAATTTTGGTGGGTATTTGTTTCATATTCGTTGTGTCTGTCATATCTTGAATTTAATTGTGCATGATGGCTTAAAACATATGAAGGATGGATTTCAAAGGATTAATAATGCATTAGTATATATTACGATTTCTCCTAGTAGAAAACAAGTATTTGAAAATTTTTGTGCCGAATTAGGGGTGACGACTGCTAAAATATTTGTTAGCGACATAGGTCATAGATTGAACTCTACTTACTTGCTATTAAAGTCATGTGAAGGTTTCGAAAATTTAATAACTGACTTTTATAAAAATAGACACGTTAGAAGTGATGACGATTGTATGTTAAATGAATCCGATTGGATTTTAACTTTGAAAGTTAAACAATTTTTGACATCTTTTTATGAGACTACAAAACTTTTATCCGGCGTTTATTATCCCACAAGTTGTATGGTGCTTGAACGCTTTTATATAATTGCAAGAACATTCCATAAATATAAAAATAATCCTGCTTTTAGTGAAATTATAATTGCTATAGAATTAAAGTTTAGAAAATATTGGGAAAAACTGCTTATGTTATTTCCTTTAACATGTGCAATGGACCACGATATAATATTTCGGGAACTAAATACGTAATTAATCAAATCAATAAAACTTTAGTAATTGATACATCTATTACCTATAAGAATTTAGAGTAAATATTATGTGGAATGTATGATTTATATGCGGAAAGAATGAGTGCGAATGTTAGTCGGGTACCCTCTACACCTACTCCTTCGACTGAAATTGAAGAAGATGATGTTGAAATAATGAATTTATTTCAAAGCATTAATACATTTAGATATGATGCAACTACAATGTGTTCATCTAGTGTCATGTCGTCTACATTTGCATCTCATCAAATATCGGTCGAAACTCAAAATACGATACCTGTCGAATTAATTGATTACTTCAATCATAATATGCCAACAAACAGAACAATTAAAAAAAGTTCAGAAAAAATAATTGAGTTTTAGCGAAAGTATGAAAGACGTTGGCCAATTGTTTCTACAATTGTAAAAGATCTGCTGACACCTCCGGTTAACACTATTGTTTCGGAGTCTGGTTTTAGTGCAGGTAAAAAGGGTTTTAACCGATGTCAGGAGCCGACTGAAAGAAGATGCTTTGGAAGCGTGAATGTGCGTGAAGGATTGACAGGACGCTCATTTTCGATGACAAGATAAATATGCTCAAATTGCATATTTGATTTAATTATATTAATCAAAATTTCTTTATTTTTTAATCGTTAAATTTAATTTTCTTTAAAAATTTGTACACGTTACAATAAGTTGTTCGTGTACAATTTTAATTCCACCTACTTAAAATTGATGTAGCCGGTCCCAAACCCGGATAAAGGAGGAGGGTTTACATTTTATCTACTCTAAAAAGAAATAAAAAATATATATATTTTTTTGTAAATGTATTTCAAAAAATAATTCGTCTTCATTATATAAATATTTTATACTTTATAAAAAATATTACAATATGATATAAATAAAAAAACAAAAAGTTTATTCATTAAATTATTTGTATTTTTTTTAACAATTTTTATTTTTTTTAAAAGTGTTTTCATTACATTATTTCATTTATTTGTGTTTTTCTCTTTAAATATAAAAAAAGACGAGTCCACGAGCCAAAACTCGGCTCGATCCACAAGCTCAAAATTAACAAGGCACGGCTCGCCACGAGCGCGAGCCGAGCTCATGAGGTTAAGGTCCGACCTGGCTCGGCTTGGCACATTGCCACCACTACCGAGTTCTATATCCTTAGTTAAGCGACAAGTCCAAACTAAGACAAAGGGTCGTTCATCTTCAGAGATAGATGTATCTACTCGTTGTAACTCGTCGTATTTTGAGTTATTGCTATCTGGACAAGACAATATGTAACAACAATTGGATGTTCCATTAAGCCTTTAAGTCAGCCTACACTATCAAGTCAGCTTTAAATTTGACAAAAACAAAAGGTGTTTGAGCATGCGATCAATGTCCATGGCTTATTTTGATTCATTTCCTACTCATTTGAGACCTTACATAATTGGTGTGAAGGATGTAGCCTCAAATGTCAATTGCGATTTTCAGGCTATGGCTAATATTGTAGGCATAGGTGAAGATAAGTGGTTTTTGGTCAAAAAATTCCTAAGAAAAGAGCTTGAATCTCATTTTGATGATTACTCTAGACTTTATGGAAATGATGATATGGTTCATGAGTTGATTCATTCACTCTCTCAGTTTAATGCTTATTCTAGTCGTGAGTATTGGATGATCATGTCAAATATGGCTCATGTTACTGCTTCAAAATATAAGGTTATTCTTGTTCACTTGAGCCAACAACGTCTTACATTTCTTCCACTTTGGGATGAACCACTTGCAATTGCATCTCATAAGATTGTTGCAATTGGATTTGTCAATGGCTGTCATTTTGTCTCATTAAATATTTATTAAATTAATTAAATTTGTAATTAACTAAATGATATTTCTACCCATGTTTTTCTATGGAATTGTGTGTAGGTAAATTGGCATGCTAGTGGACCAATGCCTCCTATTGCTTGTAATTGGTACAAGTACCATCATCCATGTACAATGGACTGGGCTACACCTTATCATGCTAAGACGTAATTTTTTAGGTCCTTAGTAGAAGAAGATGTAGTTATATCAGAGATAATTCATTTGGATAAACCATAATAACAGTTGACGATAACAGTGCTATTATTATTTGAACAGTTAATTGATTTGTTTGCTACGATTTAATTACCGATCACATTATGATAGCATGGATTTGGGACGGAGAAAAGCTTGATGAAGATTTGGTTTGGTTATGTTTATATGTTGTCGGCAGAGTTAGCGTGAGTGGTTAAATTGAACGTATTTCTTTTTCTTCAACTTGTTTCAAGTAAATGACACCCAGTTCTGCTTCATGTCCAGGGTGGGGGACAGGCTCAAAAACATGTCGCCCACGTGAACAGCCGATTCTCCGATAGGAGGGCGCCACGTGTATGCCCTGTTTTTTGCCTTGTCCCCAACCCTGGACATTTGGCTTTTTCCAAATGAAACCATATGTTGTCAGAGGAGTTATGATAACACAAGATGAGCACACTCATGTACCCTTTTCATATGAAAGCAGCATCCTATGTCGGTCACAATAAACATTCCGCAAAAAATATTAAAAAAATAAAAAACGATTATGTAGATCGCACATGGTTAACTTAAAGGAAATGATGACAAGAAAATAAAGGTGAAAGGCACAACATTGTTGGTACAATATATAAAAGGCATCACTTAGAGTATGTTTGCATAATCGATGTAAATTAGTGATGGACAAACGAGTATTACTTGTAGATCACTCCGTGTATAGATAAAAAGTTATATGAATGTTTATTAACAATTTAAAATTAAATAGATTTGTATTGCTATCCTCTCAACTAGAAACGTATGATGTGTATCATTTATTTTATTTTATTCTTTGTATTTGACATTTCTAAGGGAATAAGAATACAAATAAATGCCGACTTTTCAATTAGTATGTTTTTGAGTCTCCAACCTTTATAGGTGAAGTTTTGGATCTTCAAATTATTTAAATAAGTGAATTTGGGTACCCCATGTGAAGAAAACCCTTAATTTGGACGTGGAAACTGCACTCGATTTTGACACGATTTAAAGTTGGAGATCAAAAATATCAAAGAATTAAGCTTTCAATATTAAGTCATATGAATTGCTTGTGATTCTAACATCCATAATGACTGTTTTAGTTAGGTATCTAGAAATATTAAGTTAAATACACAAAATTTCACCTTTGAAGGTTAAGTACCATAACTACACTATATGAAATATTGAGGAATCCAACCATATCAATTTGCTCCATTTTAAACGCAACCAACTTGCTGATAAAACAATTAGTTGAGGATGAACATTAAAATTTCCCTTCACGATAATAATAACACGGCCTATAGATATTCAATACTATTTAAATTCAAGAGTTATTCCAGAGTTTTTCTCACAGGCACCATACACGTGTTGTATGGTGTCTTTTTTTGTGATTTTTGACAAGAACCAATGATAATGCTCCGAGTGAAATTCTGTAACAATTCTATGAAAGTTTTTCTGTACGTGGAGCAAAATTTTATTCAGCCCCGTTTGAGTCACATTATTGTAAAAATGAGAATGAAAAATATAGATGTTATAGGACTACATAAGAGATAAAAAGTCAAATATAATGACCTAATGTAATGAATAACGTTTATATTTTTCATTTTAATGGAAAAATAATGAGTTCAAAGAGGGCCTCAATTACCCACAAATTAATCTTTCTATAGAATCCCACAAAAGAATCAACTCATCTTTTCATGTACCCTTTAGAAAACGTAGAGGAGAGAAACATCCAATAGGGAGAAAAGGCTTGTATAGAAACACGCTATCCCGTTCTCAACTCTCGCTCTCTCCCCCAAAATTCTAAAAAATCCCATCGGACATCCCTCATCAGCTGACCATTTGCTGAGAGTCTAATGATCATCATTTAATCAAAGAAATACGCAAAATTGTTTCTTTAGACAGATACCCAATTGAAGCCTCTTTTGTTTTATCAGAATTGAATATTTCTTTCGGGTGAATTTTTAGTAAAAGTTATGTCACATTGGTTTTGAGGAATCTTGTGCCCCTATTACCTGTAAACTTCATTTCTGAATTTTTGTTGTTGCTCGATCTGTTGATGATCATAATGTACAGATTGACTTGCCAAATATTCTGGTTTGTTATTTTATTTTTTTTTCCCTTTTCCATTTTTGTATATTTTACTTGATTTTTCTATTTTAGGTGATGTATTATACTCGTTGGGTTAATCATCTGGTAGTCCAGATACATGTAGGATGTTAAAAATTTGATTTTTGTGGGGGAATTCTTGTGTAAAATCGTTGGATTGGAGTAAACTTTGTTCTGGGATTGTTTCTTTTAATTCTTTTTGATACCTTAATTTTATTTTAGAGATATAAAGATGCGAAAAGAGAGAGTAAAATTCGCTGTTTTTAAGCATGATCAAACATGCTAAACTTCAATAGTTTTCTTATCGCTGCTTGCGGATAAAATTTTACCTTTTGTGACAATTCCTTTATTTTGGGTGTGGAGTATCCTTTGTAATCCTTTGGTATTCTTCGTGTCAATGTGTTCTGTTTCGGGTTAAAGAATATTCCAGAAATGTTATTTGTTTTTTACATATAGCTGTTGAGTACTATTGAGTATTGGAGATTAGTTGATTCTGATGCTTTCAAATAGGGAATTCTCTTCTTTGCAAAATTTACTGCGTTTTTATACTATATCAAGTCATCATTCAATCCTGACCTCTAATTGGGTTCAGTGCTTGCAATTCTGTTGAGTGGTGAGGCAATTTAGCCACCGGATGTGTTTATGTTAAGCGAAAGATAATCGCAATATTGATGATCGAAATCACTTTCTTGTAGTAACTGAGTTTAATTATTGATGTTCTTTACATTACTCGTGTATTCATATTGGTCATGTTTATGTTTGCAGGCTTGATGCTTAGAGTTGAATGGTCAGCAAATAATTTAAGGTACAGAGTTGCACCACAGCATCTATTAACTCTAATACTAGTTCAACTATATGTAATTAATTAATTAATTATTATTATTTTATTTATTTATTTATTATTATTATTATTATTATTTTGCTAAGAGACAATGTGATAATGTGTATTCATTTTTATGATTTTCAGTGGATTAGATCTTCACTTCTGCTTAGTTAGGGCACTACAGAATTAAGTGGTGCCTATGGATGCTACTACTGGTGAAACTTCAAGCGGTCAATACCATAACATTCCCGAGGAAGAAATAGCTTCACTTGTCACCTCTCCCGTGGCAACATTTTCAAGGCAACGTCATTGTAAATTGCTGCTGGATACTGCTACCTTCTTGCTTTGGCTTGTCATCGCAGTGGCATGTGAGCTCCCCCTCTCTTTTATTTTGATTGATACATCATTTTTAGTACGAGCCGAATATTTATTGAGAACTCTTTATATGCAAATACTGCTTATAATTGAAAATTTCTTTGTTATTTTAATTTGTTATGCCTTGTGACTTCGAATGTATAGTTAGCAAGATCCACTGCTTTTTGAAATGGGCTAGACTCAATTGTTGAATGATTCTTTTATACACTTCCAACTTGTTAAGTCTTATTCTCAGTAATTTGGAGTCATCTAAGTGATATCATTTATGTATGGAGGAATCATATTGTTGAAAGTCACCCAGAACTTTTGGTGACATATCAGGTCAGTATATTCCGTCGGTTGTGGGTTAGGTGGAAAGCTCGGACACGGTGCAAGAACTGATGAGAAGCAGCCGAGATTAATTGAACAGTTTCAAAATTTGAATCTTCAACCCATAGAGGTTGCTGCTGGTGCATGGCATGCTGCAGTAGTCGGAAGAGATGGACGTGTTTGTACATGGGGTTGGGGACGTTATGGGTGCTTGGGCCATGGGAATGAAGATTGTGAATCAATTCCTAAGGTGGTCGAAGCACTGAGCAATATTAAAGCTGTACATGTCGCCACAGGGGATTATACGACCTTTGTTGTTTCAGATGATGGTGATGTTTACTCATTCGGGTGTGGAGAATCGTCTAGTCTTGGACATAATATCGCAGCTGCTGATGGACAGGTTTGTCTCCATTCCCCTGGTTTTGTATGTGAACAAATATCCTAACCCGTTTTCTGGGATATTTATTATTATTATTTTTGCAAGTATGTACTACTATTACATTTTCATATTCATAGTTACTTTCTAATATTTATTAAAGGTCCCAGGTTCAGGTCTCGTCACCACTCATTTAAATAAAGTTGTTCACGTGTTAGGCTTTGATGGGGAAAAAAAATGAATCCCACCTAGTTGAATATAACTTTTAAAATGATATACATGTGCCCAATCTAACACCTTAAGCTTCTAGATTAAGTCAGGATTTTCTTGTAAAGTCTGCTTGGTAGCAAAGAACATCCATTTTTGGCTTTGGATCCGTGGAGCCTAATTATACTATACATTTATCTCTCGAACATTGTTCGACCTGATATTTCCTCCTATATTAGATTTTTTTCATAATCGTGTAAGGAATAATATTTCTTATAATCATGTGATTACTGATGTACCGATTTTCAGGAAAATCGGCAAGTGAATGTCTTAAGCCCCAAGCTCGTAACATCGCTAAAGCAGGTGAAGGAAAGGGTCGTGCAGATAAGCCTCACGAATTCCATATACTGGAATGCGCATACTTTTGCACTCACAGAATCTGGTAAGCTATATGCATTTGGTGCTGGTGACCAAGGACAGCTAGGTGTCGAGCTTGTTGACAACCAAACCGAAAGGGCAAACCCTGAATTGGTCGAGATTGATCTCAGTTAACGTCTAGATAAAGTCTCGATCTTCTATTTATGATTCATGTGACCATTATACTGTTGCATTTCGGGTATATATTTCTATGTTTATTCTGTAAATAGAAACAATGATTGTGAATAAGCTAGGAATGTAGGGGTACTGGAGAATTGACCTCTTAGAAATCTGTTAGCTTTGTCTTAATATTAATAAATTGTTGACACAATTTTTCTAGCTTGGTTTCATTGATGGTGAAAGTGTTTTTAACTGTTTGGTCGATGCCTCGAATTCTATGATTTGAAAATCATAGTAAGTTTGTAAATGTGTGAACAAATAGGTGCCCAATGAAAGTGCTCCTGCAGTGGCCGCTGTAATGGTATGTGTGGTATGCAGTACTAGTCAGTAACGGATCGGATTATTACTTATTTTTCCTGCTTAATCATATCTAAAGCAGCAGTTGTTTTCATTTTAAAATCGTAGGTTTTTGAAAAATCATCTTCCTCATGGGAATGGCCTGGAATAAGTTTATATATAGGATCATTTTTTAATACATTTTTCACTTTTTTTCCCCCTAATTTCTTTTAAGAAAATTGAGTTCTGTACGTTTGTTCTCAGATGGAAACATCAGGGCTGATCTGCTTGGAACCTCTCCGAATGTAAATTTGTCTAATGTACATAATTCCTTACCATGATTGTTACTCTGTTAATCATTTTCCTAGGGGCATTTTTAAGAATGTTCAATTTTAAGGGTATGAGTTGAAAAGTGTTCACTCATTTGAATTTAGTGTCAATTTGTCTATTATGCCCTTAATGAAAAGCTATATTTTGAAATGGTATTTTCGACATTTTAAATGTCGTTCTTGACATTTGATTTTTTTATCAATTTGTCACGAATTTTGAGAACTGGCTTCCATGAGAAACTACATTAAAATAATGTTTCTAGACATTTTATATGTCATTTTCGACATTTGAACACTGTTTCATTTGTCTAGAATGACATTTTATTTTGAACATGACATTTCTACATTTAAAAATGTCGTTCTCGACATTTTTGAATCAATGAAAAACATAGTATTTATTGTGATTTGACATGTATACTTTTTGAAATAAATATGGCAGGTTATGTGTCAAAATTTTATTTGCCAATAACAATATTGCAAAAATGTCCATTTTTTTGTCTTAGTGTGAAATTATAAATTGTAAATAAGGGTATTTTGGTGTAAATTCTTCCAAATTAGACATTTTTGCAATGGTGAATATTTTTGCAAATTACTAGATAAAAATGGACATTTTGTGAAATTTCCTCTTAATCATATTACAGCGAATGTAAATTTTCCTGAAATTGTAACTTATGATCATGTTAATCATTTTTTGTATTAATCGATTAATCATTTTATAACATGTGACTTTTTTCAAAACTAAACACAAAAAACCATCCACGCTACACCACCATTGGGCATGAATATTCATTTGGCTTGGAATTATCATTGCGCAAGTAGTGAGAGTGCCCAAATGGCACATGACCGTATTATTCCTTTTTTTTCTTTTTTATTATTATTTTATTTTTTTTCGGGTTGTAAATGGACTTTTTCTTTAGAGGAAATTACCCGGTTCCAGGTAATACAAATTCACAGTCCAAGAGGCTGTTTGGTAGCCATTTTCACCTATCCAAAATTAATCATTCGAACGTTGTCACCCACTTATCTAACAATCCCTGCGTAATTATACAGTAAACCATTTTTTCTCTTTCCCTCATAATGGCCCTCCCACTTGTCTGACAATGCATGCATGCATAAAAAGGCACATAATTTTTTTTATCTTTCCTGCCACCCACTTTTTTGACAACTATGCATAAAAAATTACATTAGTTTTTCATTTTCTCCCTCACTATGCCCCTCCCACCAGCACTTTCTTTCTCCAACCTTTAGCTCCGAACCCGACAATAGTGTACCTACTCGTCGAATATTTGAAGAACCCATGCACTGCCCTTGATCTTTCACCTTCCCATACCGTGAACACGTCCCATAGCAATTGTCACCAGTTCCTGTCAGTTTCCAGCTGTACGACGACGCCAGAACGACACAGCACCGGTGACAAACAATGGACCCCACCGAGAAACTGGTACGAATACTGTAATCTCCTTCTCTCCTCCACTTCCCCCCGATTTTTGTTGCCACTGACCAAATCCTGCACTTCGCAGGCAGGACACCTTGTTGGAGGACCTTCCTACCCTACCACAGAGACGTCACGACAGCCGGCTGTGAAGTCATTTGCTCGCTGGAGCCCAGATGCCAACCGAGTCTTTATTGCGACGTGTGAGATCGCCATAGCCAAGGGGCAGCGGAACGGGAAGTGTTTCACCAAACACGTTGGGAACTGGTTGGCTCACTCTTCAACTCAGTGACTGACCATAATTGGAGCCGGCAACAGCTGCGAAATCATTGGGATTCAATGTGCCGAACATACAAGCGTCTATCAGAGCTTGTCAATAGTAGCGGGATCGAGTATAACGGTGCTACTGGCCGAATCATTGCTTCTGAAGAATAGTGGAACCGGAAGATTAAGGTAATGGATTCCCAATTTCTCAACAACCCGTTTTCCTGCAAGAGTGATTAGTGCTTCCGCTTATTGCCTTTTCGGTGCAATGCTGTGTCTTTACATTTGCATAAGACATCTTAGTCTGAAAAATGAATTGTATTGTACCAAAAAACTTTATTATAGTTCTTACTTAGCCTTTAACTCATATTCAATTTTCTCTATTTTGATGGCAAGTATTGTGAATGTAGATGAAAACACTACTGCATTAGGTTAATGCCCAGACTAGCATCAAACGTCTGGTATTCGTTATATGTCATTTTCACTGAACTTGTTTTGTCGCCCAATATACAGAATGCTTTGTGCTGCTTTTAGGAATACAAATTCATGCGTGCAACCCATACATTGAAACATTAATTTTGGCGTTGATTCTTTATTGTATGACACTTTAGTATCTGGGACTTGCTTCATCATCAGTGATGGGTATACCTGTAGCTTGGTATAGAATAGCTCAATATTAATTTTTCTCTAGCAGTTGTTTGTGTTTTTGATACATAGCGAATTGCATTTCCCTTCGGTACTCTAATTCTGGGTCCCGATTTATGCAGGAGAACGTGGTATATAAAGATTTCAAGAACAGAGACGTCAGCAATATATATATAAAATACCGTAAGCTATTTGGCGACAACTATGATGCAGACAAGTACGCTATCACTCCAACGAAGTTGTGTAGAACGGGATTTAGCTTGTACGAGGATAGTACGCTCAAGGATAATAGGGATGCAATCCAGGTGGACGACGAGAGTAGTCGTTCGAGTGACGAGGCCGAACAGACGGTGGTCCGTGCCCGCGAAAACGTTTTTAGCACCACAAGTGGCAGTAAAAGGAAGTCTTCCAGCGGGCAGCGAAGGGACAGAAAAAAAAAGATGTCTGCTCGTGAACTGTCCTTCTCAGTAGACCGTGCCACCAGTGCGGCGGAGAAAGTGGCGGGGAAGATTCATTCGATGATGGCTTCAAATGAAAGCGCTGGCGCGAATTGTGTCGAAGAGTTGCTAGCGACAGGCCGGCTCCAACGGCGCACACCTCTTTACTTTTACGCATGCCAGCTCCTGGCCCATAAACAGTACCGTGACATGCTCGCCGTCATGAGAGACGCGAGCGAGAAATTTGAGTGGATCGAGTGGATGTTCAACGACAGGGGGAAGTAATTGTGGCAGTCGTTGTGTGTTTTTTTATTTCTTTTACATTTTCGAGACCTATCTGTACGCAAGCTGTTGTAATATTTTCATGCACTATTATCCACTTGTTCATTATGACTTCGAATCTGGTACATGCTAGTGAATCGATTCCCGCGTTTGGCACTCAATTAAGGTAGCACAAATAAAAAAACAACGCTTTTCCATGAACAACCTCGTGGCCTAATTGCCTTTGCACAGGTCGTCATGTTCCAAAGTTTTCCCTACCCGACCATGGATGTCAAACTAATGTAAGTTGAACAAATTGTGCTTGAGACATATGTCTTCCTATTAATTTTTGTTGTCCAATGCATGACCATGATTTTTCCAAACATGTTGCTAATAACTTACACTTTAACAGCATTTTGGTATAGGATAAAAGTGTCTGTAACATGTGTTAGATTGCTTTTACTTTCTTGCACTTCAAGTGCTTTGACTTGTTTATATTCTTTTGGTTATACGTTCAACAGTACTAACACATTGATCCCTAATTTTATTTCACTCAGAACAAATACGTAAATTTGCACAAATTTAAAAGTATGTCATTTGTCAACATGTATCTAATTACAATTATATGTACATAGGAGGTTACCTAAAAAAATTTCTTTATTTTCATATCTAAAACTGGTGAATCATTGGTACAGTGAGTGCTCAGATGGAAATGACTTTGCCATGTTAGTATAATACTTCAAGTAGGCTTATTTTTCAGCTTGACCATCAATTAGGGCAACAACATTAGGATGTGTGCACGATATTGTCTCTAGTGTTGGAAGGAGATTAGAATAATTTTGCAAACACCGTTGTTCTATCAGTTTGTGCAAATGTCACATCTCTGGTTAGGCAAGAATCAGATACCACCATGCGCACAGTTCTCGAGGCACTTTTCCTGGGTTAAAAAATGCAGTACCGCTGTGTGTTTAAATCGCAGGCACCAGGGAGTAGGCGCATATGATATGGTACTGGGGATGCATAGGTTCTATAAAATCATACGGATGAAGTGGGATGAAGCAATGTGAGGAGCTATGGAGGTGCTGTGATGGGTCACAGTGCTTGCAATTGCTTAAATCACACACGCTATCCTTTTTACATTGTTCCAGATGTTTGGTCTTGCGAATGATCGTAACTTCAACTGCGTTCTGCAGCCACATTTCGAGGCTGTGGACAAACTAGACGACGACCTTTTTCTGGCTTCTTTGGCAGCAGATGCAACGACATGAGTTTCGTATTGCAGAATCGTCGGGAGTGACGCACATGAGTACTATTGCACGCAGCGATGTTATATCCATCGATTTCCATTTGCAATGAACGGTCACATGTTCATGCTAGAGACAATGAGCGGGAATGGACAGATGTGCTTTCAAGAATTTCGTATGTATCCCCCATGCTGCGACATTTTGCACATATTTTGTGGGACGAGCATGGACTACACAGTAGTCAGCAGGTTGACATCTACAAACAAGTCGGCATGTTCCTGT